AAACATAAATAATGTAAATTTCCTGAATTTACCTGAATTACTTGATTGACAGTGGAATGTGTTCATATAAGGAACCAGTATGAATTGTTAAATTAGCACAAACCAATTTCATTATTCTTATCTTAGATATCTCATATTTAACTGGCTTTAAATTCGTATATTTGTATCGGCAAACATCAGCACAGCCACAAATTAAAAAACATTTCTGAAAAAAAGATAATTCAAAACGTTCGTCGTAAACAAAAGGTATTTTCGACGTCATCACATATTTTATTCAAATCACACTATTACGTTTATTCCAACGTGTCATGTCACGAAAATTGCAGAATATAAGTTTTATATTGCAAGTTTTATTTGGGGATGTCATTATGCTGCTCTGCTGTTGAATGGGTCGACAGCAGCATTGAGAGGATTAAACACAGAACGAGGCTTAAATCACCGTTTTCTTTCTAGAATTCCATAGTGGCGCGTTAGTTAGACAAAATGCTACTTTCGGTCTTCCAGTCATTGGTATAAATGACTCGACGACTATCTCTTATATGGCTGGTACAACACATACGATGTTTAACGGTATCTTTTTTTAACGATACGCCCCGGAATGTGATGTTTTTTAACTGAATACAGTGTACGTTATAATCATTACCTTTTGTCATATAGACATACTTTAAGAGGTGAATAAGCCTATGGTTTCGTCTAGTGTATATGTAACTATAGGTGTTTTGGCCGATAATTCATATATCTAAACGCCACTCCTTTAATTTATTTTAGAGATTCTTTGCATTCACACGTGAGGATATGTTGAAAACATATAACCGAAGCGGACATAAAATGTGCACTTGTGCACGGTTGGCCTTTAGTGAGTGAGTTTAGCTTTACGCCGCATTCAGCAATATTCCCGCTGTATGGCGGCGGTCTGTAAAAAATTGAGTCTGGACCAGACAATCCAGTGATCGATAACATGAGCATCGATCTACGCAGTACGCAACTGGGATACGATGACATGTGTCAACCAACTCAGCGAGCCTGACCACCCGATCTTTTCTCGTGGCGTCTGTCTAAGGTGGCCCTTGACAGTAGAGCAACTCTTAGCTCGTGAGTTCGAATCCGCTGATTACGTTTCTTGGTTCCGTCACCCCAAATCCACTTCGCAATATAGGTTTCCTTGAAGTATCGCATGCACGTCCTGCAAGATCTGCATCAATTATAGTTTCCCTGCTACATTTCTTAATGTCTTTATGGTATGTCTTAGGGACCGTTCATAAGTTATGGGTAGGGGTGGAGGGTTTGGGTGATGATGATTTTTATGGAGAAGCATGTACAATGTGAATGACCCCCCTAAATTTTATGTACAAAATAAGTGACCCCCTTGCATGTCATGTACAAAATCAATGACACCTCCCCTAATGTCTAAGCATAATTTTAAACATAATTTTATGCACAAAATTGCTGAAGCGGCTCCCCCCTGTACGTATGTATAAAATTTATGAAAAACCCACCCCCAAAACCACCCCCTAGCTCCCCAGAACAAAATGGTTGACCCCCTTAAAATCATCATCCAAACACACACACACACACACACTGGCCATAAATTATGAAACGGTCCCTTAGATACTTTTGAAGGCGGCGTTAAACCTCAGGCTGTGTATTGGCAAATAAATTGTATTGCCATATATTGCGATTCAGGTACCCGTATTGCGATATATTGGGAACTGAAGTGTTTGACAGTGAGTGACATGTGAGTTCATGTCAATCCTAGTTTCTACACTATAAGTCCCTAAACATATACTCTCCCAAAAAAGACTGACTGACTGACTGACTGAGTATGGTTTTACGCCGCTTTTAGCAATATTCCAGCAATATCACGGCATCATGAAAATAGCAATTTCATGTAGCAATGAATTAAAACGTGATTCATTTTACAAAAGGTTTTGCTCTGTTTATGAGTCCTATGGTGTTTATGTTTTGAAACATCACAACGAAACGCACCATTCGTAAAATACCCGTATTTAACAGCATGATTTTCAATTTCGGCGTGTTGTGTCACAGAATACACAATTCACATGCAATGCACGTGAAAGTTTGGGATCAGATAGTCTCAATGATGGGTATAAAAGGTTGATCGCTGTCTGTCGATTATTCACTGTATTTGGAATATTGTTGACGAACGCAAAATGCCACGTCCAAGTGAAGCCAACCGTCATATCGCCATTTGCTTGAAGCTGGCCAGTCTCAACATGCAGTTGCCCGACGCATGAATGTTCACCAAAGCACCATTTCACGGCTCTGGGAGAGATATCGCCGGCAGAATTCGGTAGCAGATGCCCCTCGTAGTGGGCGACCTCTAGCGATCACTGCGGCGCAAGATCGCTACATCCGGGTACATCACCTGCGTCATCGAACAGCTACGGCGACCAGTACCGCTCGACAAATACCCGGATTGAGGAGGCTTTCTGCACAGACCGTCAGGAACAGGTTGAGAGAGGCTGGTTTACGTGCCAGAAGACCTTATTTTGGCCCTGTGATTCGACAACAACATCGTCGACATCGAGTTCAATGGTGCACCAACGTTCAGGCCTGGAACCTACCGAATTGGCGTAGAATCTGGTTCAGTGATGAATCACGATTTCTATTCGAACGACGTGATGGAAGAATGCCGGTGTACAGACGTCGACGTGAACGTTTCGCCGACGCTTGCGTTCCCCAGGTGGACAGATTCGGCCGGGGTAGTGTTATGATGTGGGGAGCGATTACCTGCCGTAGGAGAAATGATTTGGTGATGATCCAGGACAACCTGACAGCTCAACGGTACTGTGACGAAATCCTACGCCAACATCTCCTACCAATCATTGATCGCCAGAGGAATGCCAGGCCCCACACAGCAAGTCACACTAGAGACTTCCTCCAGAACCACAACATCAATGTGCTCCCCTGGCCCTCAAGATCACCGAACTTAAACCCGATCGAACATCTGTGGGATGCCCTGGACAGACGGGTGCGACGCCGTAACCCTCAGCCCCAGACACTTCAGCAACTCGCACAGGCACTACAGGCAGAGTGGGCTGCGATTGGGCAACATGAGATTCTGAGACTTATTCGTTCGATGCCGAGGCGATGCCGTGCAGTTCTGGGATGCCCACGGTGGTCACACGAGGTATTGACTTCAGCGCCACCACACGTCTCCATGTGACATTCAAACTGACTTTCCTCGAGTTGATGCCAAAGACGGATAAGTCTGCATTCCCAGTGTGGAGTTTCCAAATAAACATAAAAATACAGTTGAAATTCCTATATGCGTTTCTTTTTTGGGAGAGTATATATCTGTTATGGTTCTGATAACAGCAATCTCAAGATTTCGTTGCATAGTCAGGGATTCTAGTTTCTCTTTTATACAATGTATAGTATTACACTCAATACAGCATGCCGTTCTGTCATTGAATAACGAAGGAAAACATTGGTTGTCAATGAAAGTCTGTGTAGATTTTAATTTAAACCATAAAGATAGTCACAAAACCTTCACATATGTGTTTTACCCAATATACCGGTTCTCAGAATTTATTTTTTTTAAAGTGTAATACGTATCGTTTGAAAAGCGTAGTGCGATATACCGATGTACCGGTAATACTGTGCAGCCCTAGTTAAACCAAATATTGGTGAGAGAAGCCTACGGAATTCAACGCTACAATACCTTTGTACTACTCCCGTTTCCGTATACATCAAAACATGTTGTGGTCATACCTAGAAAGCAAATGGATGGTTGTGGATTGAACACCATGAATACAATAAAGCATAACAAAACCAAAAAACAACAAGACATTCAAAGCGTTTTAACTCTTTTCTTAATATTCGTCTGTTTTTATTTATATTCCATATGAGAACAAAAGAATTATTTACCGTTATCCGCTGTACTTGATTCAGCTGACACTGACAACAAAGAACTCACAAATAATCATGTATCATAGCCATGTATCCCCAATTGGAATTAGGTTGAAGGAAAACAGGACACAAACACCAGATACGACAACTGTGAAAATGAGCAACACATTTTAACGAGCAAGATACTTTCCTATATATTTGTTTACGGCAACACGGTACAGCACATGGTATTCTGCAAATTAAGCGTTTGTGTTTTGGTGTTTGTCGTTATGTTGTTTGTTTGCTTGCTTCTTGCATGGTTTTTGTTGTTGTTGGTTTTGTTTGTTTGTTTGTTGTTGTTTAATTTTCTTGTTTGAGTTCTTGTTTTTTTTTTTTGTTTTGTGTTTTGTTGCTTTTATTTATTTATTTATTATTATTATTTTTTATTTTTTTTTTTTTTTTTTGTTGTTGTTTTGGGGGGTCTTTAAATCGCGTAGGCGGATCCAGAAGGGGGTGGAGGGGTGCGCATCCCCCCTTTTGTCATGAAAGTTTATCAAATGACCTTAGAAACTCTCGCGAACACTTCACTCTCAAAAACATGGACGAAAATGGGAAGTAGTATGTTCCCATTCGTATCTAAAAGAAAATGAAAGCTGGTTACATGCAAGTTATACCTGCATCATTGTTATATATTAGCAAGATACGATTTTGGAATTTTCACTTTTTGTATATATATCAATTTCTCTCTTATAAAAAGGAACATCGGAGCTATTTTTAGACTACCTGGTAGAATGCATATCCAAAGAAAAAAGTACATTTGGCTATGGAATCAATTTAGTATTACTTAAGATCACTAACAATATCCTGGGATTCTAAATATTGAGTGTCCATGATAATATCCAGACAACCAGGTTTCGCGTTATTTAATCAAATAATCTGTGTTATTGTCACAAGCGCATAAACAGAAACAATGGTGTAATTATTAGAATCACATGCAAAATTTGCCCAAAGAATCCTTCAACGCACTGAGGTAAGGAATTTTTACCAAGAGCCCAAGAACGAAATTCTGACACTGTCGCTGTGTGGCATGCCCTGGGGTGGAGCAGGTAAAAGGGAGATCACTCTAATATCCATTCCCACCTAATCTGTTTGGTTTCGGAGACAAGTGCCCTCTGTTGGCAGAAAGGAATGTAAGCTTACTAAGTTAAGCTTATTTGACCTAGTTATAATGGTAAACAAATCGCTTGCTTCCTTGGTGCCAATGCAGTCTGGTGTTATTGTTTGACACTTGACCTACAGGTACCAACTTGCCCGTTTTGTTTGCATAATATCTTCGAGTATTCACTGCTGACGTATAAAATATGGGTAAGTACGGTAGCCACACCTCAAGCACACCAAACACGACCCCACAGGCGATATGGAACTAATGCATACACAAGTAAACATGCACATTCAGATAATCCTTGGCTGCGTCCTACACAATGCATATTTACTGCTGATTATTTGATTATCAAGGGCTAATGACAGTAATATCGTATCTAGGACGAAGGTTATATAACATACACACCATTGCCCCACGCGTCTATAAGGAAGAATGAGATTCAACTCGTGACTAAATACACAGTATACAAGCATACCGGCTATGCTAGATAGATACTGCAAATTATATCAAACAGTCCATTTATTTTCCATAATTTTCATATACAAATATTTTTACACCTTGCACAGATGATAATGAGCAAAACGATTCATCAAAGCATTATGTATTTTTTTATGTCCAATATTCATGTGATGTGTCACAATATTTGACATTAGGCCTGGTTACACAGATAAACACATTCTGTGTGTTGCATGTTCGTGTAATATAATAAGTTGTTTAATTAGTTAACTAGTGAGACATGCAGCCATCTACTGAGTACCCTCTCACCTACTCTGTTTCTTTTAGGCTGTGAGGCAGTGTTACTACTAGACTGTGAAGCAGTGTGATGCTGTGATTAAGAAAGCTATTGCTGATTTGTTTAGGACAGGTAACTCTGACACTCAATTCTGATGGGTCCTGAGTTATAAGAGCCGGGTACATACATAACTACCCAAACCCCTGGTTATTCAAATGATATGTAACAATAACAACAAAAGCTTTGCCCAGTGGGGTAGCGGCTACAATATTTGATGAGAGATGTGGTTATTGTTAGTTGAAAACCTTTCCCCAGACTCCATTGCTATGCTGCATGTTCCTGAAGTTTGCATTTCTTCTAAAGTATGCACGCTTAATCCTTCTGAATTATCTGTGTTTGAATAAACATAAAAATTCTGTCTACTTCCCCATATGCAGGATCATTATTTTATGTCTTATAAATGACCCAAACTAGTTTTTATAAGGATTTTGGCTAAACTATTTCCAGTTCAGTATTTGTAGCTAACTTTTGAGCTTTACAGCTAGTATCCTGGTAGGCTTCGTAATAGAGGTTCATGTACTCAAGTAATAAGAGACAATCATCCTAGCCCTAAACTGTTCACAGTACTGGCAGAGTATCTGCCATGTTAATTTGTTTCATTCCTATAGTTTGGTATCTTTAGTGTTTGTAAGCCATTTGTGTATGACAGTATGTTGCAATGTATCACAATACCCAGATCAATTGTCACAATATTTGTGATACAATTTTAAGTATCAGTGTAATTATCCATTGTTTGAATAATTATCCTGATACATGATACAGACATAAATCAACACACATCAGCGATCAAGTTTCTGCTATGCTTATGTAAGTGTTGTTTCAGTATAAGTGAAATATATAACATGACAGAAGCATGGTCATTGTGCACTGTGGATGTCCTGTGTAATCGAATGTGAAACAGATGTTTTTTAGCTCAAATTGGAGATAATAAATCTGTTCGTACTTTTAACAGCTGCTAAGGACTTGAAAGAATGACTGAGCTGAGACCTGACAGATGATGTTTTCACCAAACATTGCACATTCTGACCCACCCTTGTACACATTCTGTTAGTAAGAAGCTATGAGAAAATTATGAAGAATGGACCGAACAGGCATAAATCTTAAATGCCTCTCTGTAAGGGTAAATGGGGTAGCCTAGTGGTTAGAGCATTCGGTTGTCACCCCGAAGACCCGGGTTCAATTCCGTAGAATGTGTGAAGCCCATTTCTGGTGTCCCCCACCGTGATATTGCTGGAATATTGCTAAAAGCGGCGTAACACTGAACTCACTCACTCTCTGTAAGATTACAACTTGCTTAGAGATAAAGCCAGGATAACAAGCTTGATTAGAGATAAAGCCAGGATAACAAGCTTGATAAGAGATAAAGCCAGGATAACAAGCTTGATTAGAGATAAAGCCAGGATAACAAGCTTGATTAGAGATAAAGCCAGGATAACAAGCTTGATTAGAGATAAAGCCAGGATAACAAGCTTGATTAGAGATAAAGCCAGGATAACAAGCTAGATTAGAGATAAAGCCAGGATAACAAGCTTGATTAGAGATAAAGCCAGGATAACAAGCTTGATTAGAGATAAAGCCAGGATAACAAGCTTGATTAGAGATAAAGCCAGGACAACAAGCTTGATTAGAGATAAAGCCAGGATAACAAGCTTGCTAAAGCCAGGATAACAAGCTTGATTAGAGATAAAGCCAGGATAACAAGCTTGATTAGAGATAAAGCCAGGATAACAAGCTTGATTAGAGATAAAGCCATAATAACAAAGCTTAACAAGCTTGATTAGAGATAAAGCCAGGATAACAAGCTTGATTAGAGATAAAGCCAGGATAACAAGCTTGATTAGAGATAAAGCCAGGATAACAAGCTTGATTAGAGATAAAGCCAGGATAACAAGCTTGATTAGAGATAAAGCCAGGATAACAAGCTTGATTAGAGATAAAGCCAGGATAACAAGCTTGATTAGAGATAAAGCCAGGATAACAAGCTTGATAAGAGATAAAGCCAGGATAACAAGCTTGATTAGAGATAAAGCCAGGATAACAAGCTTGATTCATCATGATTTGTTACTAAGCATGGTTTGTAATTTGTTCTTCCCTGTATCATGTTTACAGAGGAACTGAAAAGGTGTTAGTTTATGTACCTGGACCGCCTCCGTGGTGTAGTGGTTAGAGCGTCCGCCCGGAGAGCGGAAGGTTGCGGGTTCGATCCCCGACCGCGTCATACCAAAAGACGTTAAATTATGGTACTTGTTGGTCCATGCCTGGCGCTCGGCATCTATGGGTACAACAAGGACTGGTCGGCTCGGAGTCAGTATAATGTGTCTGAGTGGGGTATTCATGCTTCATTGCGGCATGGTTTCTCAGTGGGCTAGCACTATAAGCCCAATTTCACCTCACCTGTGACACTAGTTCCTTATGTTTAGGCAACTTTTGACATGACCTCGAGCAAACACCTGAAGGAATGATATGTTGTCAGTGTGTTTCATTGTGTGCTCTTCCTCAAACCTGTAGAAACATTAGGTGATTTGTTGAATTCATTCAATCTTTGGCTCCTTTGATAACCATTTTATCCAGGAGAGCTAACCATTTTGCTGTGCACAGTTGTGTCCCTTTGTTGTATGTGGATCAGCAGGTCATAGGCTTGTAGACAGAGAGTTTTCATTAGTTCAGGCCACTATTACATGTGTGCAAATACTTCAGAACATGTCGGCAATATCTGAAAAGTAAATATAGTATTATAGGAGTAGTTAATATTCATCACTTTACATTAATAAATTTTAATACATTTATGTTTTCGGTGGACATTGTTCCTACAAATGTATTCATGGATTGGCTTGTATCCTAGATTATGATTCTCAGATAGTCAGCACAATACCTGCACTTGTAGGTTTCATCAAAGTAGTAAACATCTACCTATTGCACCATGTTGAGTTTTCTTCTGAAATCTCAAACGGAGTGATAAACAAATTTTGTCCATATAAGCATACAATAATTTTATTCGTTAAAGTGATAATGATTCTAGATTATATAAATATAAAGAACAAGTTGTCCAAAGGAAAGACTCACTCACTCACTATTGAGATGCTGACTTTGCCAATCATGTGTATCTTGTCCCCCTGGCATGGATTGATGCTCATTCTATCTGTCACTGGTTTACCTGGTGGGGAAACTATTTACATACCAAGGTGATAATGCTGTATAAGTGCTAATCGGGCAATAAACTCTGTTTATCCATTCACTAATAAAGTGACATTGATTCACTTGTGACTTGTCATTTCATACCTTCGTTCAAGATAATGTCCACTTGTGCACACTATTATTTACAACACACCTCAAGGACCCCTTCCTTCCACAATAATATTACATTACCGGTGACAGAATCAACAATCTACTTACCTCATTTCCGATCTAAACATCATTTGAAATCCAGACATATGTTAGAAGCAAACAACATGTAATAGGTGATGGATTCAAAAATCCTGAACTGGTGTGTGAGCACCTTGTCTGAGAGTCGGCCGCCTTGTGTGGCTGTTTAAACACAGACTGAGCTGGGCCATGTGACTATATGACATTCTCCTTCTTGAAAGTCAGGTCAATAGGAATTTGGCTCTGCTTATGTTTGGACACATTTGTTGAGGCTCTGTACGTGTGTGCCACAGAGCTACATAAATATGTGTGTTTAAAACTGATGAAGCATCATTAACCAATTAACATTTAGTAGTGTACACATGCTTTAAAAATGAAAAAGAAATTACTAAAGCATACCGTAAATTATTAATTTTTTTACCAAGAGTGTGACCACTTGATCTTCCATTCCTGTATTTCTTAACTTAAGTTTATTTCCTGAATGAATATTGGCACGCTGTATTTTGTTGTGGTTAAAGCACTACATCTTGCACTTTCAATAAAATTAACCTATAACTCTTGGCTATAAGTAGTCGCAACATAATTTATTGTCATACTTACTTTGACCTTTTACTATTTTACTTCACATTTCTTGTCCCAACAAATAAAACTGATATCAAACCTTTATTATGTCTGAATTATGACCGAATTATGACCATATTTTCTTATAGCACAGGTAAAGAGGAATAGTTAGATGTAAAAATATGTACACCAGCAAGGTTTACGTGCACTTGCCTGACCCGTGATCAGGGGATTATTTATGATATCTGAGAGAGTTAGCACCTCCTCGCTACCCTGGGTCTGTTGGTAACATGTTGACAAGGCTAGACGAATATCAAGGTTTCATGGCACACGCTTAATTTATCTCACATCATTTTCCCTACTGCCCAGCCCTTACTGTAATGCTGAAGCCCTAAATGAAGGAAGTTTTGATTTCCTTAGGTTCAGGACCCATCTCACTGGGGCAGCTTTTCAATTTAAAAGGAATTATTTGTTTCTATTAAAATT